TGTCGGATTCGAGTTGGCAGGTGGCGTGCGAGCTGGAGATCGTGCTCGACGCCAGGCCGCCCCTCGCCTCGATGGACGAGCAGGACCTGGCGCGCCGCTCGGCGGCGCTGCGAAGGCAGCTGCAGGACGCCAGCCGCCGCGGGGCCTTCGGGAACCTGTGCCGCGGGGGCGAGAGGGCATGGCCCGCGGAGAGGGCGGGGCAGGGCTCGCGAGCACGCTCGCCCCCCCCGCGCGCCCCGCAGGGCGCGCGGCAGCCCGCCCCCGGCCGAGGGGGGGCACGCGGCCGCGGCAGGGACCGCTTCTTCCCGCTGCGCGCGACCATCCCTGCTCGCGCCCCAGGCGCCCCCGCGGCGGCCGCCGAAGCCGAGGGCCCGCCAGCCACAGGGCCCGCCGGCAGTCCCGCCCGCGCCCTTCCGCCGAGCGGGCCGCGGGCGCCCCGCGGCGACATCCCTCGCCCGAGGCGGGCGGCGCTGGCGAGCAGCCCCGAGCGGCGAGAGTTCATGCAGGGGCAGCCCGCGACGGCGGCGGCACGGCCTCAGGAGGCCGCGCGCGGTCGCAGACGCCGCCGCGGGGGCAGGGGGCGCTTCGCGGGCAGGGCCAACGGCTGACGCCCACGCCCCCTTGGGGGAGGCGGATCTGCCGAGACTGCGGCTGCGGGGTGAGGCCGATCATCGATGGCGCCCATGCTGCATGCTTGCGATGCGCGCTCGGGTGCGGCCAGTCCTCTGCGGGCCGCCTCTTCGCGCAGACCGCCTCGGGCAAACCCCTTCGCGATCCCCGCCGCCTCGCCGCGCCCCCCTCGCCTGCCTCGCGCGCCCGCTGCTTCCGACGATGGCGCCGCCACTGATGGGGGCCCCTTGGCCGACCGGCGTGATCTAGCACGGGCTGCTAGAGATCGGCTCCGAGGGCCCTCTAACGCTGGCCCGTCGCCTCTCAATCTGTTCAGGGGCCCCCCTGGTTCGTTTGGTCGCTATGTCCGTGATTCCCTGGATCTTCAAATCCGCGAGCAGATGGCCACCAAGGGAGGTCGGCTGCAAGGTGTCTTGCTGCCGTTGCCGCACCCTAGCTTTGTCAAGTCCGATGTCGCGCATGACGGCGAGGACCTCAGCGACGAGAACTGGGGGGCGCTCCACTGTCGGCTGGTCGTGACGATGCTGGCTCTAAGCTGGGAGGCGGGTTTCCGCTTGCTCAAGTTCGCTCGATGCTACCGCGGCCGTGCTAATGCAGCCCAGCGGGCCGCTTTGATCGGCCTGGCGCGGCGGATCTCCCTGGCCACGCGCATCGTGACCAGCCTGCCTAGGGGCCTGAACTGGGAGAGCCGCCTCAGGGATCGCAACATCGGCTACGGTGGCTTGGAGATCACGTCGCCTCACAGACCCACCCTGGTACAAGTGCGGGACGGCCTGCCGCCACCTGACGCCGCCTTCAGTGTTCCGAAGGCCCACTACGCCCCCGTCAGGTGCAGGGACGAGGAGCTGCGGTCCTTCCTCAGGCCCATCATGAACTTGATCCCCTCGAACGCGTGCCAGGTGTGCACTGTGGGAGACATGCCCGAGATGCCGACGATGAGTCAGCTGAACGGGCTGGTGCTTACCGAGCTGGAGGACCTGGTGTGTGGCGGCGCTGACATCAAGGCCTTCTTCTACGACTTCGGGGCGCCGCCGCCGCGGTGGCCGCACATGTTGATCGGCCCCCCCGTGCCGTCCCGGCTGTTGGGCCTCGAAGGCTACGGGGCGTCCTGCATCTGCTCGCGCGTGATCGGCATGGGGGGGATTAGCACGGTGAGAGCGACTACCCATCCTCACCGCAACACGCTTCGATGCAGTGGCAGCGTGCCTCGCGGCCTCAGCCCAAGCTGCGAGGTCACGCGTCGGCGGCGGTTGCTGCTGGGAGTGGAGAAGCCTCGCCCCCCAGCATGTACGGTCTACATCGACAACCTGGAGATCGCTGCGATCATCGACACGCCAGAGGCGGAGAGGCTGCGCTGGACGGTGTCTGCCCTGCTGGCTAACGCCAGGGCCTGCTACGAGGCGACAGGCTCGCTTGCGCCCCCTGGCAAGGACTTCCACCGCGTGGTGCGTGCGACCAGCCTGCCCGAGCCGGTCGACGGGGTCGAGGGCGTGCGCCGCCCCCTCTCGGGCTACATTTTTGAGATGGCCAGTCTTGCCTCTTGCGTATTGGGGAAGAAGCGCGCCGGCGCGCGGCTGATGCGCATCCTGCTTGGTCGGTGGGTGCGTGTTCATTGCTTCCGCCGCCCGCTGGCCGCCAACTTCGCCCATGCTTGGCGGTGGCTTGGCGAGGCGCGCATCGGGGGCCGCATCAGCGTCGACGTCATCGAGGGCCTGCTGATGTTCTTGGCGCTTTCTGCCCTGTGCGTGGCCACAGCAGGCCCCGGCATCAGAGACGTGCGGCTCGAGGTCGGCCAATTTGTGACGGTGTCTGATGCGTCGGAGGCGGCGGGCGCGGTGGTCTACGGCGCGGCCCTCTTGGACCGCGGCCGCGCGCTTGCCGCCCGGCGCCGGCGGCCTGCCAGCGCCGCCTGCGGGGAGGAGACGGGGCGGATCACCCTCTTCGACGGGGTCGGGGGCGGACGCAGGGCTTTTGCGTTCATCGGTCTGGCGCCCGCGGTCCACCTGTTGCTCGAGGTTGACCCCCGGGCCGTGCGGGCGGCGCGCCGCGGCTACCCTGGGACCCAGCACCTCGGCGACGCGACGGAAGTCCACCCTGTCACCTTGACGGGCCTCCTGCGGGCCCGAGGTCGGGTCGCTCGCGCGCTGGTGATGGGCGGCTTCTCGCGCCAGATCTACGCGAGTCTCGGCGTGCACCGCCGAGGCGCCGCTGTCCCGCGCACCTCAGTTGTCGGTCGCGCGATCAGGATCATCCAGGGGCTTCGGGCGGCCACGCCCGAGGCCGCGGTTGACTTCCTCGCCGAGAAAGCTGCGTCGATGGCCGGACCTGACGTACTTAATCTCAACGGGCTCTTCGCGCGGATCCCGTTGGAGGTCGAGGCTGGCGACGTCGGCTGGGTCGAGCGACCGCGCCTGTGTCGGACGTCCTGGGACCTGGTGCCTCCATTCGAGTCCAAGGCGACCACGGTGATGGCGCAGGGCTCGGCGGGCCCTGTGCCGGCTGCGTGGCGCCGCAGGCTGAGCGGCCGCCGCTGGAGGAGTGGCTGCGCGCTGGCGCGCGCTGCCCTGGCGCCGCTGTCGGGGGACCGCTGCCTACATTTGTTCGCTGAGCGCCGCGCTCGCAACCGCGCCCCAGGCCCGCGGGCATCGGGGGGGTGCAGGGATGCTGAGCTGGCGCGCTGGGAGGAGGCGGACTTTGCTGCTCCGCCCTTCCAGTTCCGTGACAAGTGGTGCCTGCGCGAGGCTGGTGGCCGTGCGGCGCCGCCTGATGCGGTCGTGCGCGAGAAGCTGATGTGCTTCGCCGAGGGCCACGCTGCCCCGTGCATGACCAGTGCAGAGGCGAAGGCCGGCCCGACCAAGCGCGAGGCACTGCGGCGATCCTTGGCGGGGGGAACTCGTTCCAGTGCGAAGTGGTAGCCTGGGTGCTTGGCCACCGGGCCGTGGCGGTCAGGCTGCTGGTCTCCGTGCCGTCGGTGGCCAAGCTGCACTCCAGCGCGCGCGCCTGGGCTGGAGGTCGCAAGTTGTGGGCTGGCGACCTCGCCTCCCTGCGCTGCGGCCGCGTGAAGCTCGACGAGCAGGTCTTCCGCGGGCCGGAGGTGGCAGCTGCAGGGCGCGCTGGCCGCGGACCGCCAGCGGTCGGTCAGGCTGGCCGCGGCTTGCGGCGTTGGAGCTCGGAGCCTTCAAGCTGGACCAACCCCTTTTGCCATCGGCCCGAGCTGCTCCCGAGAGGATGCAGAGGCGCTGTTCGCGGGCTGGCTGCGGGGACAGCCGCAGCTGCTGGGTCGCCTGGAGGACCTGCGCGGGGCTGCCCTCGCATGCCACTGCGAGCCGGGGGTGCCCTTTCCTGGCACGTCTGACGCCGTCGGGAGCCGTCTTGGGGGCCTCTCTGGGCCGACTTGGGGCCCTCTTGGGGCGGTTCGGGGCCGTCTTGGAGGCCATTTTGGGCGTCTTGGAGGCCATCTTGGGCGTCTTGGAGGCCTCTTGGTCCATCTTCGGGCCCTCTTGGGTTGGGGCCGTCTTGGAGGCCTCTTGGGCCGTCATGGGGCACTCTTGGAGGCCTCTTGAGCGATCTTGGGGCGATCTTGGGGGCCTCTTGTGCCGTCTCGGGCCGTCGGAAAGCCGAAAAGGCGCAAATTCCAAAATCCTTCAAAAACCACGGGAAATCAATGGTTTTGGCCTCTTCGGGCCTTCCTGGAGGACCTTTTGGAAGCCTCCTGGGCCGTTTTGGAGGCCTCTTGCGGGCCTTTTGGGCCGTCTTAGACCATCTTGAGGCCATCTTGGGCCGTCTTGGATGCATCTTGGGGCCATCTTACCGTCTTGGAGACCATCTTGGCTGTCTTGGGCGCATCTTGGCTGCCATCCTGGACCATCTCTTGGCCGTCTTGGGACCATCTTGGGCCATCTTGGGGCGAAACAGGCATTGACTGATGCAGTTTCCGGGTGGCCGGCGGGACGCGCCGGAGCCCCAGGGGGAGTTTTTGTGGAAAAAGAACCAAAACCAAAACCGAAAGGATCCAGCACGCCAGGCACCCCTGCGATGAATCGACAAGGGGGGGCGGAGTGCGTCCCTGGCCCACCCCCTGGGCCGCGCACGTGCCGCCGGCCATGATTTACACATCCCCTCTTGGACGCCCCCCTCTTGGCCGCTCCCAAAGAATAGCCGCCCCCCGAACAGACGGCAGTTGGGTTAGGTCGGGCATGTCCCTCTACAGGAGGACAATCCAAACATAGTCCAAACATAGTCCGGGGACGATGCTTCGACTGTTTCTGAACACGCTTGAGTATTTTTTGGCCACGTCTCACTCTTCTTCCAGAACCCGCCTGCAGGAGGACGTGCCCGACCTCACAGTCGGGGGGAGGCGTCGGGGGTCCCGGAGCTGCCCACGCTGGGGCGAAGCTCCGCGGCGAGGGGCGCCAGCGGCAGCGGCCGCCGCCTCCCGAGCGGTAGGCCCGTGGGCCGCTCTGGCTCGAGCCGGCGGCCGAGGCTCCGGCGCCCCCCCGCACGCGGAGCAGCAACCGCTTTCCCACGCCACCTCCCAGCTCCCCTTACATCGGGCCTGTCCCCCTACAGGGGGATTTTCTACGAAAATGCAGAATACACCAAAAATAGACAAAAAATACATTAAAAAATAGTCTGGGGAGTATTTTTTGACCATCTCGGGGCATTTTTGGGGTATGTTTTATTTTTCGTCGAAAATCCCCCTGTAGGGGGACACTCCCGACTTGAAGCTCCCCAGAAATCCGACGTCGTGATTTTTTCAACACGGGGCCCCCGGAAGCCTCGGCCTCTTCCCCAGGGCCGGTGTTTCATCCCGAGTGGTTTTCGGACGGTCCCGGGGCCCGGCGAGGGCCCCAGGGAGGCCGAGAGCTGCGAAGAGCAGCCTTGTTGATTTTTGCACCGCGTTGGATCTCGAGGCCCCGCGCCCTGCGGGCGGAGGCGGCGCTGCCGCGCCCAGAGCGCCGATGCCCTGCGGCGGGCGCCTGCACTGCCTGCTCGCCCTGTGCTGCTGCGCCTGCTCGGCCGCGCGGCGGGCGCTGCGCCCCAGGGAGGCCGCCGCCCTGCGGGCCGCTGCCGGCCGCGGCGGCGACGGCGAGCGCGCGCAGGTGGCGGCGGAGATCAACAGCCGCCCAGGCGTGCTGTGGAGGGCGGGGGTCGTCAGAGGAGGAAAAGGTACCCATACCTCTACCCTCCCCTCGTTTTATCCGTTATGGGCCTCCTGGGCCTCCATCGTCGCCACCGTTGGATTCGCTTCAAAATCCTGGTTAGAACGTACCCCAGGAGAGGTCCGGGGAGTGCAGTGGAGGGCGGGGGTCATCGGCATCGTTGAACCCATCCCCATCCCCATCCCCTTACCACATTGCCACCACATTGCCACCCCAGTTGGGGACACACCCCTCGAAACCCGAAGGGGACGGCCTACATCCCCATCCAGGGGGGTAACTCGGCCAGTGGGGCCCAGACCACGCCGCTGGGGATGGAGGTCGGCTAAACTTATGATGTTCTAACCTACCTTAGCCTTGATCACCATAATGAATTTCGAACACCAAGAAAACACCCCAAAACTCTAGGTTTTCACGTGCCGGGCCTCTGGGAGACACTCTTTCGACACTCTTTCGACACTCCTTCGACACTTTCCTGGGTGCTCGAACTTATTTCTGGGATGTGGCCCTTAAGTACGATGGGAGCAACTCAGGAGGAGAAAAAACACACAGACACAATTCATCGTCGATTCCCCAGAAGATAGGGGAAAACATGGGAAGTGGGGGGGAAGACAGAAACAAAGAACATATGGGAAAATATGGGGAACACCTTTATTTGTGTGTATCTATTTGTGTGTCCTGGGGCCCCTTCAGATGGGAGCAACCTAACGCCAAACGGGGCTGTCTTGGGCGGTCGGGGCTCCGGAAGTGGAGTTTTCTATACCCCCCTGTCCCCAGGTACCGAAAAACGTCGGACATGACGTCGGAAATAACGTACGCCCCCCCCCATGCCCCTGCAGAGCGAAGCTTGAGCGAGCTCGAGTCCCCGCCCTCAGAAACTCAAGCTTGAGCGAGCTCGAGTCCCCGCCCTCAGAAACTCACACGCCGGACCGGCGCACTCCTGGGATGTGGTCCTCAAGTACGATGGGAGCAACCCAACGCCAAACGATCGGGGGACGCAATCTATACATATCCACTGCTCCCTGGCCAGGCCCATCCTGAACCCAGGAGCTGTGTATGCGCCCTCCTGGCCAAACCAGGAGGGCGTGGCGTATACACAGCTGCTGTGTTCAGGATGGGCCTGGCCAGGGAGCAGTGGATAGGTATAGATTGCGTCGCCCTAAAACGGTGCTCAGGTCAGCCCCCGCTTCTCCGGCCTGCCGCTGGGGGCCTCGGAGGCGCTGTGCGGCGCCGTGCGCACCCCGCGCGGCGGCGCGCTGCAGCGGGCGCCCTCCCGGCGGGCGCCGCGCGCCGGCGCCGCGCCCGCGCCGGAGCGCTTCGACGCCGCCGAGGTCGGGAGCCTCGACATGTCGACGTGTCAAGGTGAATTCGTGTTGCGGGCGGTGGTGGTGCATAAAGATTGGCCTCGACATGTCGGGGGTGGACAGACCTCCCACCCTGACACGTCGATTCAGCAATTGGCCGCTTTCGGTTCGCGAGGGGGCGTCGCGGCCGTCGTTCCTGCGGGTCCAGGTCCGTCGGTTTCGGTCCCAGGCCGATTTCGCTAAGGGGAGCCTTGACATGGGGTCAATAGGGGAACAAAAAGTGGCATAAATGTAAAAACTCGAAGGTCCGCGCGGATCTCTCGGATCGCTGGGCCCCCCCGGCGGCGCCTCCGGCGCCGCCCCTGGCGCGCTCCGCGCGCCAGGGAGGGGGGTCCAGCGCCGATCCGAGAAATCCACGCGGACCTCCGAGTTTTTTATCTTTATGCCACTTTTTGTTCCCCTATTGACATGGGGGTCAATGCAAACGGGGGTCGGCCTGAGCGCCCGATCTTGCAGGATCCTGCAGGGCCAGGGTCGCACTGACCCGGGTTCGGGTGCAGGATCCTGCAGGGTCCTGCAGGATCCTTCTCATGGACCCGGGTTTGGGAGCAGGATCTTGAAGGATTCTGCAAGGCCTGACTGACCCGGGTCTGGATTGACCCGGGTCAGAACATCCCCGACGAGGCCTGGCCCCAGTGCGCCCGAGTGATTGGCAACGTCCGCGACCAGTCCGGCTGCGGCTGCTGCTTCGCCTTCGCGGTGGCAGGCACGGCCGCGGACCGCCTGTGCATCGCCACCGAGGGGAGCGTGGCCGTCCAGCTCTCCGAGGAGGAGCTCTGCTTCTGCACCACAGCTCGCAGCCACGGCTGCGACGGGGGGTCTATGGCCGAGGCCTGGGGGTTCGTGAGGGACAGGGGCCTGTCGACGGGGGGTCCATACGCTCGGAACAGCTCCAGCGGCCACAGGTCGGGCTACTGCAAGGCCTACTCGCTGCCGCCCTGCTACCACCACGCCGACGCCGCGAGGCGGACCGATGGCTCCCTCGCGTCGTGCCCAGAGAAGCACGCGGCGAGCCCCTCGTGCCCCGTGAGGTGCGACCCCGAGGCTCAGGCCCCTTACGACGACTTCGAGAATGCCCGGTACCGCTTCCGCGGGCACGTGATGTTCTTCATCGGTTTCGGCGGGGAGGTTGACGAGATTGCACAGCAGATGATGGCCCACGGCCCCGTGCAGACGTCCTTGAAGGTCCACTCGGCCTTCGAGATGTACATCTCCGGGATCTACCACCGCCTCGAGGAGGAGACCTTCCTCGGATGGCACGCCGTGAAGATGGTCGGCTGGGGCACCGAGAATGGCACCAAGTATTGGCGGGTGCAGAACAGCTGGAACTCTCATTGGGGAGAGGACGGCTATTTTCGCATCCTGAAGGGTGTCAACGAGTGCGAGATTGAGAGCGACGTCATAGCGACCCACGGCGACGCCGTGTGGTCTGGGCCGGGGGCATCTGAGGACGCCCAACTGCGGTCCCGCCAGAAGTCTAGGGCCATAACCAGGGGCCGCTGAGCTTGGGTTGCTCACGCCTCCCTGCGCACGTTGATTTGCACGCCGCAGCGGGCCCAGGCGCCCGCATGACCATGGAGCCGAGGCCGCGGTGCAGCCCCGCCCCCAAAAAAGAGGTGGCAATCCTGGGAGGTCTCAGGCAGTGGCGAAGCGTCCTAGCTCGCCTAATAGGCCTACCAAGCAATGTTCTAAGAACCTTGTGCGGTTTCCGCGGAATGTTCTAAGAACATGTCTGGCTGGGACTGCCTTATGTTGACGCATCGGTGTTCTATTCTAAGAACCTGGTGTTGGGTCAACATGTCGAGGTAGGCCTTTAGGCACGCCGGGACGGTCGGTCCCTGCTCAGAGGTCGGGGTTTCCAGAGCTGGCCGACAGAGGGAGAATCGCCGGCGAGCCCGGGGGGGAAGTGCGAGTGGGCGGTCCTGCTCAGAGGTCCCGAGGGCGTCTGAGAAGCCCCGCCGCCTCCTGAACAGTTTCCTCGGCGTCTTCGGGGCAGGGCTTCGCAGAGGTCTCCGACGGCCAAGAGGTCGAGGGAGGAAGAGCCGCCCAGACCAGACAATTGGCGTTTACTGAGCGGCCCTGGGCGTTTACTGAACAGCCCTGTCCTGCTCGATTCCTTCTCTTGGGCGCGTTTGCCAAAGGGCTCCGCGTGTCGGGGTGGTCATGCTCGGGGCGGATTTTCTGCCCTCCAAGAAGGCTTCCGAGAAGCCCCACCGCCTCCTGAGGTGGCCCGCCCCCTCCGACATTTCCCCCCCCCCCCCCCCCCCACACTGCGCCCTCTCATGGGGCTCGGGGGGGAGGAGGAGGCTCCTCAGGAAGCGAGGGGGAGAGGGAGGACGACGGGGGGGGGGGGTCGACCCGAGGCTCCACCGCCCTGTGAGACCACTCCTCCTCGGCGTCGACGTCCTCCAGACGACGCCGCAGCGAGAGAGCAGGGCGCTTCGCAGCGAGAGGCGACGGACCGTTCTCGGAGCCGCTGCCAGCGGTAGATCTCGGCCCGCTCGCCGCGGGAAGCCCCCCCCAAGCGGATGTTCTGCCCTCCAAGAGGGCTTCTGAGAAGCCCCACCGCCTCCTGAGGTGGCCCGCCCCCTCCGACATTCCCCCCCCCCCTGAGCTCGCCGCCAAGAGAGCAGGGCGCTCCGCAGCGAGAGGCGACGGACCGCTCTCGGAGCCGCCGCCAGCGGCAGATCTCGGCCCGCGCGCCGCGGGAAGGCCCCCCCCTTGGCGGGTGGGGGACGGCGGTCCGGCCTTCGCGCCGCCCCGCGGCGCGGCCCTCCCCGCGGCGCGGGGGAGCTTCGACGCTGGAGATCCTCGGCCCCGAAGGGCCGAAGGGCTCGAGACGAGCTCTAAGTCGGGGGGGAACCTTCAAAGATGGTCAAAAAATGGCCAGGGGACTGTTTGGGGGGG